TGCAATGTACCTAAGTTAGTAACGAACGAAGTGAGCTTGGTTTGCGAAGCAAACCATATAAGATTGCGTAGCAATTTTCGGGGGTTGGCGAGAGCTAGCGAGCAGGGGGCGCAGCCCACTGGTATTTACTAATGAGGCAATAATATTTATTTCAATTTAAGATTTTAAAGGCGATAAAATCATGTTTTATATTTTAATATTAAACAGAAAAAAAGTTGCATTTATTATAAAATTTAGTCAGCATTGTCAACACTAATTTAAGAAAAATCGATAGGTTTCAACTCCTTGAAAAAAAAACTAATTTTTTAAAACCAATTTTGCGAAACAAATCGAATACCCTAACTTTTTTATTTTAAAGAAAATAATTTTAAAGTTAACATATTTTATTCTCTTTAATCAAATTTAGTTATAATCGGTAAAAATCTAAGCAATACCGTATTTTGTAATTCTTCCTTCTTTTTTTTTACTATTCAAATCTTTCCTCACTTGTTCGTTTTGACCAATGTCAAGGTAGGCCTTTTCAAAAAAAGGGGGAAAAGAAAGTGAGGGATTGTCACCGTCTTTTTCGGAAATCAGGACCCCCTAGGAAATTGCTTAATTGATCAGATCTATTTCAATGACCTTAGGTCAATCTTGAATGGGAAAATGAACTTGAATTGCGCAATGTTTTACAACTATTATTGAATTCTTTCAGACATAGCTCCCAGGTTAGACGAGGGGAGCAGTTATTTTGAATACAGTTAAGATAGAATTTGTTGAGAGTCTCACCATTCTTTTGATTCCACATTTTTCTTCTTTTTCCTGAACTTAACGATGTATTGACAATGATTATGAATTGTGCAGCTAGCATTTGTATTTCAGTTTGAAACAGTTAAACTTTAGAAAAGTGTTTCGTAAAATGGCTACAACATCTCGAAATAATATAAGATAAGTTTGAACAACATCAACTGATTTTGTTGATTTCAAATGAATTAAGTAACGAAAAGTAATTACATAAATGCTAATATCTCATAACGCCCAATGTAACGTGAATTTCAATATTTTTTGCCGATATATAAGACTACTGGTTTTATTCTCTATACTTTTTTTTTACAAAAAATTGTTTAAGTTGAAATGCCCAGTAAAAAATGTACGACAGGCTTTTTTGTTTCAGGTAATTTAAATATTGATGAAGTGAAAACAAAATACGATTAAACGCTGTTTCGACAGTCTAAGGTATAATAAAAAAAATATAAAAATATTTTGGAAACAGAACAAACCAGTTTCCTGTTTATCATATATTTCATTGATAGCTATCTGAATACCCGCTCTTTGCACCAGGATAACAAAAGAAAGTTGTTGTAGTTAGTTTACGTCGCACTAGAGCTGCACAATGGGCTATTGGCGACGGTCTGGGAAACATCCCTGAGGATAATTCGAAGACAAGCCATCACAATTTTGATCCTCTGCAGAGGGGATGGCACCCCCACTTTGGTAGCCCGACGACCTGCACGCAAAGTCGAGCACTTTACGGTAGACCAGTTTAACGAGGACTCATACAGCACACCCTCGGTCCCTACGCAGACTGATCCAAGTGGTCTCCCACACGCACACTGACCGCAGCCAGTGATGCTTGACTTTGGTGATCTCCTGGGAACCGTGTCTTAAAGATCGGTCCACTGCGGGACAACAAAGGAAAGTAAAAACAGGTACCGTATATTCCGGCGTATAACGCGCACTTTTAATACAGAAAATAACATTGGAATCTACGGGTGCGCGGTATACGCCGAATATAAAAAATTATGGATTAAAAAAATTTAAATATAGAAAAATACTTTTATTTTAAAGAAATAACATACCTTTACCTATATACTTCATTGATTTTCGTTATTACATAAATAGTTCATTATATTCGTCTTCCACTATCAATTACAATTATTAAAATTTTTTTGTATTATAATTACAACTTTTTTTGTATTATCTGTAAGGTGGGACCTAAACATGTCCCACTCTAAAAGGCTTTCTGGTTTTCTTACGCAACCAGGACGGATTTGCCAGATGTTTTTTACCCACAATTTAGCACCATTTTTGTCCATCCAGAATCACATTATTGCTCTTTCAATTCTAGCCCTCACATGCATGTCAAATTCAGTTCTTTTATTTTTTCAAAAGATAGGGAAAAATACTTTTTATTTACGATCTTGAAAGATGAGATATTGCACATGTACAATCCAAATTTTCGTGCGCGTTATACGAAGAGTATATCTTAAAATTTAAAAAAGTAATTAGAAATTACGGGTGCGCGTTATACGCCGGGGCGCGTTATGCGCCGGAATATACGGTAGGTACTTTATTTACGTCGTATTAGAGGTGCACAATTGGTCAATGGAACGGTTTAGGAAACATCCCTGAGGATGGTCCGAAAACATGCCATTGCACGATGATCGAAGACATGCCATTTTGATACGCTGCAGAGGGGATGGCACCACTGCTCTTGGTAGCCCGACGACTTGCGTACGAAGTCGAGCACTTTATGGTAGAACAGTTTAGCGAGGACCGATACCGCGCACCCTCTGCCCCTAAGCAGGTTGAACAAAGTGGTCACCCATCCCCTTACTGACAGCAACCAGTGATGCTTAAGTTCGGTGTTCTACTGGGAACCGTGACTTTACGATCCGTCCACTGAGGACTTCATGTTAAAGGAGAGACTGTTTGGGATTGCAAGAATGCGTATGTATGAGTATGGGTAAGAAATTAATGACTCCAATAGTTTAAAAGATAAGTTGTTAAATTAATACGGAAATAAAACATTTTTCTTCCATAACTCTTTTTGAGCAGTAGTATTAGTAGTTCATTTACATCGTTCTAGAGCTGCACAATGGGCTATTGGCGATGGTCTGGGAAACATCCCTAAGGATGATCCGAAGACATGCTATCACAATTTTGATCCTCTGCGGAGGGGATGGCACCCCCACTTCGGTAGCCTAACGACCTGCACGCGAAGTCGAGCACTTTACGGTAGAACAGTTTAACGAGGACCCATACCGCACACCCTCGGTCCCTACGCAGGCTGATCCAAGTGGTCACCCACCCGCACACTGACCGCAGTCAGTGATGTTTGACTTCGGTGATCTGCTGAGAACCGTGTCTTAACGATCAGTCCACTGCGGGACAAAAACTCTTTTTCAATTTATGAGTTTCAAACAGTCAGTAGACATGCCAGTCGAAAGATATTTTGCCATGAGCTGTACAGAAAGCTAAACTTTTAGATTTTGGTCAATGTGATGACTCAACAAACGAGATGTAAAGAAAGAATATGCTGTTCAGCATTCTTAAGCTTTACATGCACCCCCAACATTTTACGTGGTGTTTTGGCAAGAAACCCTGGAGACTTTGAGGATCTTAAAAAGTTTATCATCCTCGAAGAAAGTGCATGGTTATCTGTGCGTGCTAACAATAATCCTTCTGCGCAAGTTCAGCCTAAGGTGTTTAAAGATTGAATAAATAATGGCGATCTAATGGCAGTATGTGCCAGTTTGACCTCCACCATTCAAAGCCTAACTGGTTGAAAAGTTCGAAACAAACTCAGTTAGGCGAGAAAACGTAAGTCACATATTTGGCAGAATGAAACGATTATTTAAGAAATGAATCTTACGATATTCTTAAACATACGTATTTCAATCTTTTTGAAATGTCACGTAACATTCACTAATTTTTTCAATAATATAAAAAGAAATATATTGAATTATATAAAACCTTGTGAATGTGAGATATTCCAGATATTTTACATTTTTTACGGTATCTTTTTCGTGATTTACCCTAACAACTCCGTATATAATTGAAATAATGCAATTTTGGTTTTAGTATAAAATCTTCATATTTAAAGAAGTTAAAAACAACTTAAATGCAAATTATGCCTATAAAAAGTTCATGTGTTCAAATACTAAAATCTTGGAAAATCTTAAATAATTTATAAATTGATTTAAATGTTATTTTTAAATGAGATTAAAACGAAAGCAATCTTTGCTTTTTGGACAGAAATCAACTAAAAACAAACCTGTCTCCTTGAAACTTTTTTTTCCCTTCCGACCCGAGTTAACTCAAAAACGATGAATGGATTAAGTTTTTATTTCTTTTTTCTTATTCTATCTGCTTGGTTGTTAGCAAAGGAGTATTTCTATCTTGCCGATACAGTTAGAGTATGGTTAGATTAAATTTATCCTCCTTCTATGGCCATAGTTCCTGGCTTCTTTTAGGGACATCGCCAAATATATATAACTTCCTAGCACACCAATTATCGATCCAGTTTTTTCAAATTTTTGTCTACCCCTTATTTTGAGGGTCAGGAATTCAAATATGTTTTTAAAAAATATGTTTATTCAAACAAAGTGAGTTTTTGTGTCTAATTTCGAAATTTAAATAATAGTTAACACTAATTAATTAGCATATTAGAAGCCCCCAAAGAAACCAGTAAGATAACTCTTAGTGCATGAAAAACTGATCATAAGAACGAAAGTTATTCAGGCTGATATCTTTTTTTGCACACTTTTCAAGTATAATAAAGAACGTATAAGTAATGTATGTATGTATGTATATGTATGTATGTATGTATGTATGTATGTATGTATGTATGTATGTATGTATGTNAAAAAAAAAAAAAAAAATATATATATATATATATATATACTTCTCTGTTCCTTTGAAAGCACTTAATGACGAAAAACATATGACTATCGTCATAAACTAAATCCTACTTCTTCCTACGTGGCAGAGAAATAATGACACTTAGTAGTCACTAGAGAGAATTTTGAAAAATCCTGTTTACGAATATATTATAGATTTGTATAAAAGCAGTAGCTTGTAGAGGGAAACCGATTGCAGATTGAAAATCAGCGATGTGATAGTATCTAAAATAAGCAAAAAAGAAAAATAATAAATTGTTCCCCTAAATAATCCAAGAAAGACAAAAATTTGTTTTAAGAATTCAGCGTTTATTTCGATGATTTTTTTCTAGTGAAGCAAGACATCTAATTGCAGTCACGGTGTCCTTCCGTGGGTGGACCTTGAACGTCTCCTGCTTTGTTCACACAGAAGCAGAACAATCTTCCGCCGGAGCCTTTCCTACACTGCTCTGGTTTATAGTCGCCATTTGGATAGCAATTAGGAACATAGGCATCATCTAGAAATATATAAATCTATCATTAGAATACTTTTGGAATAGACATTAATAGAATCTGTTGTTGTTGTTGACGTATGCCTGTTTTAGGCAGAGGGGGTGCGATTGTTCTTGTTTCCCAGTGGCGCCATCTATGGCGTGGAATTCGACTTCTGCCACCCCATACGTCACACCCGTTTATAGAGCTGGCTCATCCTTGCATCCATTCATTCATCCACAGATCGTAATTTTGACCTGAATCAGAGAACGATCGATCTCCAATCCAGTACCCCCAGAGGTTTTGATTTGTTATGGGAACATGGAGAACTTTTGAAACTCGACAGATTTAGCGTGCATCAGTCACTTTACTACCTTCGGCCGGCGGGGTTCGAACTCACGAACTCTCGGACATGGGCCCAGGGCCCTACCGACCAGGGTATCCCGGCCTTTTATAGAATCTGGAAAAACAATCCGTTCTTTCAGTTATGAGAAATACTCTAAATGTAGTAGACACAAAGCTGAAATTTAATGCTCTGACGACAATGGGATGCTCTGCAAATGACTCTCGGTATATCGATCCTGATGTGCTGTTGAAATGTGGCATTTGTTTACGTTAGCAATTGTTCTTTCTATTCTATTTCGAGTACGTCAAGCCTTTCAAGTATCAATTCTCTTAAATGACACATTCTGTATTCTTACACAACGATTCTTTCCTTATGATTTCAATTCTTTCACTATATATTTCCTACTTAACTGAAAGGCGGGCATGAAACCATGCAGAACATAAACAAACTAATTATGCGTCGAAGTTGCCAGGCACATAAAACAAAAATATATCACGGTTACAATAAAATACATAAACAAATAATAAATCTAAGTTAAGTAAATAACGAGTAAGAATTATATTTCAACAAATTCGACGTCCAATATGAGGCAATTTTTAATTAACTTCGCATTAATTAACATTCTGACTTATGTGTGGAAACTTAGTTCAACTTTGACATGCTATTTCGCTTATAGGCGATCAACTGGAGCTGACGTCATAGATCACACGTGTGGGAATTGTGATCTTCTTTTTCTTGAAGTGCAAGAACCCAATTAAGTTTAAACCCTAATTAAGAGTGAAATTATTAGGCTAAATTTATAATTCTGTCTACTGATAGGAATTTACTCAAATCATAGCAAAAGTTTTCGATTAAACCTTTAAAATATATTGCTTTAGTTATATAAGCGAGCTAAAAAAGAAACTGAGCTTGAAAGATATCTCGAAAACTGGAAGTTAACTCCATCAGATGCAAGTCTTGGAATGTATTTTTAAATTGTTAACCAGAAGCGTATTAAGCTCTATTTGTCTTTGGGAAAAAGAGTTACACATTTAAATAATTGGTTGTAAGGTCATTAGAAGATCGATGTAATTGTGTACATGCGTAAATTTTCAAGCGTTAGTTACAATAATTACTCCAGGAGGAAAATTTTTGTTGCGTTTTTACCAGAACCTGATCTTGCCTAATTGAGGTGCGAAAATTTTGAATCTAGAATAAATTTTGTTTTGAAAGTTAAATTTATTTTTTAAATATTATTTTTAGATTAGTTTTCTTCTGTCTCAAAGGACAAGTTTATAAAGAGCGTAGGAGTTTATATGCATACCTATACACTTGTTTCTCCCTTTGAAAATAACACTTATAACAAAAAACACATGACTTTAACGTATCGCATCGCAAATTAAATGCATTATCGCCTTCATCCCACCACTCCTGACGTTGCAGAGAATTGGGGAACACTTAGTTGTCACTCGAGGGAATTTTAAAAACATCCTGGTTACGAATATATTTTTTAATTGCATAAAAAATGTTGGAGAGAAATCAATTGTAGATTTGAAATCAACGACGCGAAAATATCTGTTTAGAAATCTCGTGCATCAGGAGAAATAAAATGTTGTTTATCTCAAGAAAAATTGCAAATACTTACGTGACTTCTCTGCCTCTGTTCGCCTTTTATCGCAATCTTGGCGATCAGCTAAAGCAACAGCAATGAAGCTGAGAACAAGTAGAACAATGTAAACCTTCATTTTCTATTCTCTCTGTTAAGAAAAAAAATATCAGTTAATCATTCGGTCGGAAATAATAGCGACAGTGATTGTTCTAAAAGTTTCCTTTTCAAAACGTGAAATAAAAGCACTGCTCCGAATGACCCAGGGCTTCATTTATTTTTTTAAGATAGGCCTGTTTTCCTGCTGTTAAGCGTTTAGATAAATTAGAAATTCTAATTAGCGTTACGGTTGCATATTAACGCTATTTAAACGTCGCAGCACATGTGCTAAAATGTTTCTGGTTCACTAAGGGTTAAAAATACGATTATTGCAATGGTTAATCACGAAGAAAGGTCTCAAAATACATATAACTAGAAATGCCAACTTGAAGTAGCAAAATTTGTGAATTTGCTCATGATTATTGGTCTAGTTAATTCGATTTTCAGGAGTTTTTAGCCATCGCTATTCATGAATAACTCAAAACGCCCTATTGTTACTGCTAGTTTTAGTTTGCAACTCTGTACAGTTTTTAAAAATCTTTTGCCGAAGGCTGTTCACTGGACATTCCTGCTCATTAGCTGTGGCGGAATATACTTGGCGTAACAGAGCATCTTGATATGCGTTTTTCTAAATTTTTTTTTTATTTTTATGACCGCCGTTGAACAGCCGTCCCAATTTTTAGGTTTACGACTACTAATGTTCAACGCCGTAGCCTTGTAATTTTAAACCAATCCAGAAGACAAGGAAACTCCTGGATCAGTACCCATATTGATTTGTTATGGGAACATGGAGGACTTTCAGACTCGACAGATTTAACGTGCATCAGTCACCATTTACTACATGGGGAGTCTTCGACCGGCGGGGACCAAACCCACGAACTCTTGGACATGGGCCCGTCACCCCACCGACCAGGCTACCCCGCCTAGTAGCGACCATGATATGCGTATTTGAAAACAATAGACATAGCTAAAAATACGTGGGTTTATACGAATGTTTAGAGCTATTCTCACTTAATCCAAACTATCCATCACGCGGCTGCAAATGTTTTCAAATGACACGTCAAAAGATCTGCATGCGATTCCATATGCAATCAACGCTGCTTACTGTAACTCGCGCATCGCATAAGTATAGTGAAGAGTAAAAACCCTATAAATCAAAATTACTAAACCAAAAATCATACGTTAAGAGACTTCCACTCGAAAATATGTATTCGCTGTGTGAAGCAAGTCAGCATCTCTGCTTTAAGATCATTTGTTTTTTGCCTTAAGTGTAATTTTCAAAGGAGCTACCAAATGTAAAGTACGTATATAAACCTATAAAGTTCTTTATAAACTTTCGAACAAAAAAAAAACTAAAAATACCATTTAGAAAAAACAAATCTGTAGCTTTGGGAACAAAACTAATTTCCGCTTTGAAATCACCACACTCGTATACATTAACACGTTGAGCGCCACGTCAGCCATCGGTGGCTGACACTGAAATTACATTTAGGCCGCGTCAATCACCTGTGGCTGACACTGACCTTTCACATAGGCCGCAAAAAACAGCTGGCTGACAGCGTATAACATGATGTAGAACTGTAAAATTTGCACTCTTTTATGGAATTGCAGAAAATTTATTCAAAATTTACTTAATTATTGTGATTCTTGTTTTAATAACTTCAATTTACTAGGTTTTTATCCACCACTATTTCTAAACAATTACAAGGCTTATATAATTCACCACTTTTTTCAGATATGTCATGCTAAACCTTTTAAAAACTAGCAAAATCTGTCTAATATTTGCAAATTTAGTTTGTAGTTATTTACCGTTGTGGCCTGACGGACAAGACATATAAAATTAGCGTGGCATTCAACGTGTTAAGATCAAGTATTTGTATAAATGCAGCAAAAAAATTGTTCCCCAGTGTTATTGGAAGTGTATTTTTTTATTAAATGTGCATAATTTTGCAGACAAAATGTTAGGTTTTAAAAAATTCAATTCTTTTTGTCTTCTATACTTTTCAGATAAGCAAGAAATAATTAAAAGAATGAAAAAAAATTCAAAGAAATTAATTCATGTAACGCTTACCTCTGGAAGTCGATCTCTATAGTTGAGGCACTCTAATCAAGTGGTGAAGAACATCTTTCTCGACTTCCCTTTTTATACCATTCTGTTCGCTTTCGAAACAAATCTTAATTCGTATCCTTATCATTTATGGATCCAAATATGAGAAAAAAACAACTGCTTAAATAAATTACTGTTAAATCAATTGTTCTTCTGGTTAGATCCAATGTTTATCCATATGCCTTTGTAATGATTATCTTAAATACGCGTAATTTGGTAACTTATACAAGAAGTATTGAAATCTCACCCTTGAAATAACCTTTACTGGGTTCGTGAATTCAGTATTATAATAATATCATTCGCTTTATATACAGAGATTAGAAAAAGTTAATTATGTATCATTCTTATTAAAACAATATTTTAATTCTCTACTTCGTGGCATAAAAATTTTATGTTTAAATATTCTTTATTTTGAAATACCTTAATGAGTAAGGAGTCACAAAAATGCGAATCTTTTTATAAGCGAGTTTCAGAATTGTGTGCTTCTTTTTTTTGAAAATCACTTGCATTTTTCCAAACATGTCGTGAAATGTGTTAATTTAAGATCCAACATCTGATAACTCTTCTGGTTAGGACCATTATTTACCAGATCACGGCTACATGCTTTGTATTGACAGAGAAATTTTGAATTCGTTGAAATAATTTATGTTTATTTAGAGAAGATATGTTTTTATGAACAGAACTGATGATTTTATTTCATAATTTGTTGTTGTTTCTAATGCCACTTGCCACATTAGTAAGCTTGCTTGGCGAGGACGAGCAATTTTAAGGCAGAGAGTGCGTTTCTTGTTTTTCAGTGGCCCCATCTATGGCCAAGAATCCGACTTCAGCCACATCGTACGTCACACCCGTTTATATGGCGGGCCCATTCATACATCCATTCATTCATCCACAGATCGTAATTTTGACCTGAATCAGAGAACGATCGATCTCCAATCCAGTACCCCCAGAGGTATTGATTTGTTATGGGAACATGGAGGACTTTGCAATCCGACAGAATTTAACGTACATCAGTCACCAACTACACGAGGCGTCTTCAGCCAGCGGAGTTCGAACCCACGAACTCTCGGACATGGGCCCAGCTCCCTACCGACCAGGCTATCTCGGCCATTTCATAATTTAATAACCGTCGTTGAACAGCCGACCTAGTTTAGCATACGGCTGCCAATGTTCAACTCCGTAGCCTTGTAATATCGAACCTAATCCAGAAGACAATGGAACTCCTGGATCAAGTATTGGGAGAAAATTGCGTTCCTGAAAGACTTTTTGGGGAACTAAACCGCATTCGAGTAAAATGGAGAGGAAAACTACGAAATAGTCTGACAGCAAACGAACTCTAAGCCATGATCCGTCAACCACTGAGGATATATTTACATCAGCACTGTGGTCGGTGTGAGCCGGGTGTGGAACTCGTATCGACTAGCCATCGTTTAGATTCGAACCCGGTTCACCTCTTTGGAAGGCGTACGCTCTATCCCCTGAGCGACCACGGCTGTGAGCTGATTATTCAACATATTTAACGTGTACTTCTTGTACCATCAAAATTGCAATTTATAATTGATTTTTCAATGTTCTGTTTTTGTTTTTATATTACGAACTGTTCTTTATGCTTCTCCTTTTTTTTAAATCAATTTAGCGAAATTATGGATTATTTTTATTCCAATAAAATGCGGGAATGGATGAATTTTTTCATTCTTTTATGTTTTTGAACTTAATGACATTTAAAGAAAAAAATACACATTTAATGATTGACACTAAAACGTCTTAAAATACGCAAGTTAATGTTTCTTATATAATTTCTCAATCAATTTAAACGGCGAATCATCTGCACTGTTCAATTTTCGGACAAGATACATATTTTTTTGTGTTAGAAACAAAAGAAGCTATTAAAGCATCCCTAATTTATCAAATAATGCATTATGTTATTGAAATCAATGGCATATATTGATCATAACTTAAAAATAATTAAATATGTGGAAATAATCGATATATAATATTGTTTAGAAATCTTAAAAGCAATATTGTTGTAAAACATTACATATTTAATAATATTTTAACGATTAATCTCTAAAGTTGTCATGTATAAAATCATTTATTGTTGAAATATTTAGTTTAAAGTATTATATACAACCACTCATTGTAGACGACGCTTTCACTTTTTTTAATTGTATTTTTAATGAAGCTGTTGCACTGTATTCAATCACAAATTTTATGTGGCTTTCTGCCTTTTTTGCGTTACGCTTTTTAATGAAATTACGGGAAAGGTTTTGTGTTGAAGTTTTGTACAGTTTCAACGAAGACTTTTCTGTTTTTCTGCTATACTTTTGGATAAATCCACGTTTGAGTTTAGAACCACAAATTTTAGGTGGAGCTTTGACTTTTTTGCTATAATTTTGAATGAGGCCATGACATTATTTTCAACCGAACATTTTAGATGAAGTTTGAAATTTATTAGACTTTTTTTCGAACATATTTCGGATGTTCATTTCATGATTTACCATAGTTTCATGTAATTTTATAAATATCTTCATTTTCGCTAACTGCTTCTGTTAAAAATTTTAATATTTTAAAATATTTTCATGTTTATTTCTATTTGAAGCTTTCGTGGTGAGGTTGTCATGTTTGAGGCTTTAAATGTATTGATGATAGATTTCTAACAATGTTTTCTTTGAAATATTTTATACACTCTTTAGAGTATAATCTAAAATAGGTTAATCAGAAAATATAGCATATAAATAGGCATCTTGCAATCCTAAATTTAAAATGAAAGGAGAAATTCTCGGAAAACTGCTTAAAAGAATTTTTTTGTTATTAGGAATCGACATAGGTAATAAATATTTAAGAAGTAGAAAATACACGGTTAATAAGTATTTCATATTCTTATTTATAACTGTTACAAATCTAGACAGCGTGTTGACTGCAATCTCGCAAATTTACGAACTACCGAAATATTTCATAGTTTATGTTGGAAACATGCTAAGTAGCACTCTATGCTTTTTTATGTGGGCTATACTGTTTTATAAGCAGAAAAAAGTTGCAATTGTCGTGGCAAAGTTGCAAAGACTAAGACTATATTTTAATTTCATGAATCAAAAGGCCGTCTTTTACGAAAGCATTGCAATCGTTTCTATTTGCCTTTTCAGCATTGGAATTGAAATTAGCATTATGCTCTTACGCTTAAATATCATTGATGTTTTAGGCGAATCGAAATTGTTATCAACTGAATTTAAATCGAACATACCATCCACAAAGTTTTACACATATTCTAATTTAAAACATCTCACATGGGTTATAGTGAACATCTCAACTTCTGGCATGTTTGTAATTTTATTTTCAACTCTCTGTAACACGCTGTGCACTATGACTGTCAGTTTCAGATTAGAAATTCCTCAATTTGTAAGGCCTGGAAAGTACTCCTTAAACTATATTCAACTCTTCGAACATTACTTGTGTGTCATCGACTGCATCGAAAGGATTCAAAGAACTTTTTCCGAAGCTTTGCTGTATATTGTTTTCGCTTTATCAATGGCAATTTTTCAAAGACTCTGGATTTTAATACTAATTCCTTCTCCTAATTTAATCACTTGTTTACTGCATGCAAAAATATTTCCTTCGGCTACTATTTTTTTGTGCGTTCTCATTGCTTCAGGTTCTCGGATAACAACTGAAATGGAAAGATGTCGTACAGCATCGCTGCATGTTCTTCGACTGATTCGGAAGAGAAAACTGTTTTTGAATCATTCTACAGTCGCAGATATCAAAATGATTGTGGAAAGAAAGACAATGGTCTTGTCTGGATGCGACATGATTCATTTGAAGAAAGAAACAGTTCTATCTCTCCTTGGTTCAATACTGACATATAGTTTACTGATTTACAATTTTACTGATTTTAACCAGGCAGCTGTTTAATTTTTTTTTATATTCAATGATTTTCTGATTCTTTTAAATATTTTTTTTTCTAACTGAATATAAGTCATGATAAAGATAAGTAAAGAAAAAAACTTCGAATCAGTTATAAAAACTGTAAAAATCCGCACCGTTAATAAGAAAAAAATGTGACTAGTTACATTATTTTTCATAATAATGAAAGGTACAGTCTTATCTTACGAAATCACATTGGAATCTCTAGCAATAGAATTGAAGTTAGCATTACGTATCTAAGCATTTTCAACATTTACAGGAAGTTTATGTAATTCTTAAATTGTTTTGGGATCACTCTTACATTAGTAATGTTTTTTTTTCTCCAGTGCCCACCTGGAGAATGACCATTCGTCTTACAGATATCTGAATGGCAGATTTGATGGCCACTCATTCAGGGGCACCCTATTAGGTGGGCCAACGTTGCTCCCACAGTAAGGACAGATAGTACAGGGAATCAAACAGCATCCATGCCTTGTCCGGGATTAGAACACAGAACCTTTCTGTTGCAAGGCCAGTTCCCTGACCCCTACATAGTCCGGTCAGCTCGAAAGGAAAATATTAGAATCGAAAAACAAAGTGTTTTTAATATAGTGTTACCCGTGAACTTTCTGCTGCACTTGAATAACTTTTCTTCGCTTGTAATTGGATACATTTTGATTAGGGGTGTAACATATATTCGGCCAATATTCGGTATTTGGTCCATTCGGCTCTTTTGCCACATATTTGTTTGGCCGAATATTCCGCAAATTATTATTTGAAAAAGCATTTTTCGACAAAATTGTTTCTTTTTTTTTCCGGGAGGGGGAAGGGATTTGAATAGATTTAATAAAGAATGATCTAAAATCGTATATTTTACAATGCATTATTAGAAAATATTTTTACACATATTTGTTAAGTTCTAAAACTTGTTAATTCATGTTCTGAAAGATAAATGGAAAAGCGAAATTTGAGGAATTGAAACTAAATTTATATTGAACCATGAGTTTTGTATCGGTGATTTTTTTAAATTTTATTTAATCTAGTCAATTTTGTCGTTTTTTCATCACTTTATGTTTTAAAAATTGAGAACTTTTTTTTAAGTTACATTATTTGTTTCATTTTTGCTTGTTTTTCTGT